GTTGCAGTTAAACAATATAAGTTAAATGTCTGAAAAGTAAGCATTTTAGCTGTCAGGGGTATACACGTTGGAAAATTTTATAGTTTCATTTTCTGTAGGAAAGCGATGGAGGCAGACTCAGAGAAGAGGTTGATACGATTAAAGCCTGAGGTGCGATCAGAACCGAATACCCAGATTTCGGAATTAAACTTGACGCCATGTTCGTCAAACACGATTGGCGTAGACGATTTGATCAGTGCGGCGAAGAGCATCACTCGAGTGGGGGACCTGAAGCAGCTGGCCTCGGAAGCAGAAAAGAACGCAACCCTCGAGCCGCCATTGCATCGACAGTTGGCCAGTCGCCTTCGTCGAAAGGCAGCGTATGAAAATATTTCGAAGGAACTGAACCGTTGGGACCCTATCGTTCGACGCAATCGCGTTGCCGATCACCTGGACTTCCCACAGAACCAAATCACGATCCGAGACGAGACACCGGAGAATGCAGTCAAGCGGTTCGTTGCACGGACGCCCCTCGAAATCGAAACAACCAAACTCTTGCAGGGCAGCAAACACACGTTGCACAATGATAAAATGTTGACCGAGGCCGAAACTGAAGCAGTGAAGGTTGTTCGTTTTTGTTGTGTTCACATTTGACTCGACTCTATATTCTGTTCCGTGAGATCTTCTTTTAGGCGATGAATTTCAAGGTTTAAATTGATCTCGGCTTGACGTATTATTTTAAGTATGTTTCACTGCTTCCGCGAAAGACATATAACTATGCAACTATATGACTGCCTACGGGAATGTCCTTCAGTCTTTGTTGATGGCCTCTAGCATGGTAAATCTGATAAGCCAAGAGTGAGGATCTACAGAAACATTTATTTGCTTGAGTCAACACTGTTGACGCCAAAACAGAGTTGTGTCTGTACATATCGACCACTAAGGTTGTCCACTGGTTGGTGGAGGATTAAACCTTCAGATTCATCTGTCCAGCCCTGATGATGCTGCGGTTTGTGCAGCGAAACGGGTTGACATTAAACTATTTACCATCTGTTTACCATTTGGTGTCCCGAACCATTAATCAATCAAACAACCATGTATGGGCCCAGAATCAGAAACCTGAAGAAGTATTTAGATTTGCTTTCAGAGAAGAATATTTTTTCTGCGATACAGTAACCGGTATCTCATAGCAGATGTGCTCAAAAGCTGCGAATACAGCGGTCA